CCACAAAAGAAAAAAAAAACACTTCATCAAAACTGTTTTCAAGATGAATAATAAGACTAAAATCAGCAAATCAGCATATTAGAATGTTTTCTGAAGACACACTTGAACTGGAGTAATAGTTTCTGAATACTGCAGGAATACATTTAATTTTACAATATGAAATGTTTAATGAACTCAATATTAAAATTAAAAATGGTTATTTTAAATTATAATAATATTTCAATATGACGGCACGGTGGCTCACTGGTTAGCACTGTCGGCTCACAGCAAGGTTGCTGGTTCAAACCTCAGCTGGATCAGTTGGCATTTCTGTGTGGTGTTTACTGTAAAAAATGCAGGGTTCCACACAATTCATTCATGTTGTCCCAACACAAATCGATTAAGTTAACTTAACACTTTTAACAAATTTATGTGTATAAAAAAATTAAGTTGTCCCAATGAAATTTCAAGAATTGTGTTTATTCAGCTTACTTTAAATAAGCAGTTTGAACAAGCAAAAAAAAAAAAAAAATATATATATATATATATATATATATATATATATATATATATATATATATATATATATATATATATATAATTTATTAATTTTTATTTTATTTTTTATTTTTTTTGGAGTGTTTTGCATGTTCTCTCTATGTTGGTGTGGGTATTCTTTGGGTACTCTGGTTTCCCCCACAGTCCAAAGACATGCGCTATAGGTGAATTGAATAAATAAAATTTGACGTTGTGAATGTGAGAGTGTGTGGGTGTTTTCCAGTACTGTGTTGCAGCTGGAAGGGCATCCGCTGTGTAAAACATATGCTGGAGAAGTTGGCGGCTTATTCCTTTGTTGTGACCACTGATGAATAAAGGGAGGGACTAAGCCAAAGGAAAATGAATCAGTGAATGAATTTCACAATATGATTGCATTATTGATCAAACAAATTTCTTTCCAGTATTAAAATGCAGAAATAGAAGCCAAGCATGTTCAGAGGTGTTTGTGATGTTATGAATATTGTAATGTCTCTCGTTCTGTCTTTCCATTCATTCTCCTCTCTCTCTCTCTGTATCTCTCCTAATCACTTTCTCTCAAGCTGCAATCTTATTGAATTGAAATGCAATTCATTCATTTTGCTCAGTGAAAAACACTTACATAGGAGATACAATGAACTGGATCAAATTCCATTGCCACATCTTGCACAGCTATTTTAAAATCTCTTCCAGTAAAACATTAGATTTGGAGTGAGAGAGAATGGAGGAGACAAAGGATTTTCTGATAAAGCCACTGAAGTTAGATGATTCTGGACCTTTCAGTTGCACCAAGGTTTCTGAGCATATTAAGAGCTGATGAGGAGCAATATATAAGTTTCGTGTATCATGGTGAATACAGTGAAAGGATGTTTGTGTAGTCAGTATTGATTGTACGGATGCATTCGGCAGCATGTAGAGAACACTGGTGGCTCAGAGACCATATTAACTCCTGAGTACTGACTTATGGCAGACAGAGGAGAGCCTGTTGCCACGGATACCTCTCTGTCTCTCTCTCTTTTAGTTCTCTCTCTCTTTCTCTATTGCTCTTTCTCAGATTGCAATGGCTGTAGTCTCTTTTTCTCTCTATGACTCTTTCACTTTTCATAAAAGCTAAAATAACTTCTTTATGTGTTAAGTGACTCCAAAGAAAAGGGATCATGAACTGAGAAATCAAAGTTCCTTAGATATCTGACAAAAATGCAAAAATGGTGCATTTAAAAAAGATCATGTTGATTTCTGAACTTAAAATATTCATTCAAATGTTTGTCTAAAAACAGCTTATACTGTACCATACCTGTCAAAAAATTTTTTTGTGGGAAAATAAGGGTTAATTGGAAATAAACAGTTGAAATGGTCAGCAATATGTTTATTAATATTATTATTATTATTATTATTATTATTACATAAAAGCTGCAAATAAATTAGCAAACAGTTTATCCTATTCAATTTAATAGCTATTATAAAGAAATTGAATCAAGTTATCAAATCTCATTAACCTCTTTTTTACTGTATAATTTAAACACTTTGATTAAAGAGCAGCGAATGAATCTCTCATTTAGATTTTTGTTTTGATCAGAGGTGTCACTTTAAAAATGCACAGATCCATAATAAAAGTATTCAATTGCTTTCCTACCTTTTTATGCTCATTTAATACAAAAATTATTGTATTGTGTTAAAAAACAATAATAAAAAAAATAATAATGATGATGATGATGATTATTATTATTATTATTATTATTATTATTATTATTATTATTATGTGTATATGTCGGTTTAGTGTTCACTTTTGCTCTGCTTCAAATCGCATGTGCAGAATCCTTTTGGAAAACAACGTCTATTTATCACTATGGAACACGTCTGACAGTCACACACCACTACATGGGAAAGCTAGGTTGCTGCCAGAAGTGGTGTTAGTGAGACCAGCAGTGGACGCTTCACCTGTGGTCTTTGTGGGTTCTAACGCCCCAGTATAGTGAAGGGAAGTCTATATTGCTCATTGAGCACCATCTTTCAGATGAGACATTAAACCAAGGTCTGACTTTGTGTGGTCGTTTAAAATCCCAGGACATCCTTTAAAAAGAGTAGGGGTTGAACCCCGGCATCCTGGCCAAATTTGCCCTCTGGCCTCTGTCCATTATGGCCTCCTAACCATCCTCATACCATAATTGGCTTCATCACTCATCACATGTCTCTTCTACACAAGTCAGCTGGTGTGTGGCTTGGCACAATATGCTACACTATGGTGGTGGATAAGGAGATTTCCCTCAATGTAGCACTTTGAGTGTCCAGAAAAGCGCTATATAAATGTAAGGAATTATTATTATTATTATTATTATTATTATTATTATTATTATTATTACATGAACTGACTGTTTTGAAGATTGCATTGGAGGGGCAACTGTGCCTGTAATGGAACGGAAGGGAATATATCAAAGTGTTTTTATGCCTAAATAAAATGAAAGCACAGAACAATTTCACATGGCATCCCTGGTGGTTCGGTGGTATGGGTTGCGTATAGGGAGGATCGGCTCTTTAATGTTTATTGTCACCCTTCATAGAAAGATTGAAAATACGGGAGAAATACGGGAAAATACCATTACGGGATGATAGCAGTATAGAACTGTAAAAAATAAGAGAATCTCTGGAAAAACAGGAGGGATGACAGGTATGGCTTATACTGAAGCCAACCTGCCATTATTTAAATGAAAAAGTATCTAGAGCAGAAGATCTAAAAATGTGATCATATTAGGGAAGTCAAAACAAGAAATTAAAAGAAAATAACATGTTAATTGTAAAAATAATAGTCTTTATGAATATTGTTATCAATTACTATTATGAATGAATGAATAAATAATAAAAATAAATCAAAACACATTTAAAAGGCTCTTTTTTAACCTTAAATACCCTAAATAAATATTGTTTATACGTATGAGAAAACCAGTACTTGAACATATGTTGAATTTAATGTTTATGCCAGTGGCAACATGCTGACATGAGCTCCATGCTTTTAGAAAGCAAAGTCTGAGCTTAATTTAATTAACACAAACGGAGGTAAAGGAAGGCACAGAAGTGAGAGAGCTCCCCAGAGGTCTGTCCTCCAGCTGCCTGTTCTATTTGTACTGAACTCTTGCTCTTCTCTGCTTTAAGCAGATATGAGCTCTTTTATTTAATGTGTATTCATCCTCACACACACTGGCAGAAATTGGCTGGTGCCCACATTGCAAAATGCAGCATTTTTCTGTGCACATGCAAATCAGTGGCTGAACATAAACTAGGAACCCCCAAGGGTCTAGAGAACATCATGTACTTAACTTGTAGTAAGTAGCAGTTCTCTTTTATTTGGTCAGAAGGTCACTGGGTTGAGCCTCAGCTGGGTCAATTTGCATTTCTGTGTGAAGTTTGCATGTTCTCCCTGTATTCGCGTGGGTATCCTTCGGGTGCTCTGGTTTCCCCCTTCAGTCCTAAAGACATGTGATATAGGTGAATTGGGTAGGTAAAATATATATATATATATATATATATATATATATATATATATATATATATATATATATATATATATATATATATATATATGTATATGTATATATATGTATATGTATTGTTCTCTCACAATGCAGCTTTTTTTGCTGCATGAGTTGGTGGTTCATTCCGCTGTGGCAATCCCAGATCAATAAAGGGACTTGGTTGAAAAGAAAATGAATGATTGAATACAAAGAAAGGGTTGGCCTAATGTGTAAAAAATAGGCTTACTGATATTGTATGCTCAATATTGTATGCTAAGATAAAGTTTAATACTAGTATTATTATTGTTATTTCTCAAACATCAAGTCAAGTCAAGTTGTTTATTGTCATTCAGCTACATGCGTGGACATACAGAGGAACGAAATGTGTCTCGCAGGACCACAGTGCTACATAAATCAATCCTAAATACAAACACAACACTGGACATAAGAGCTATTTAAAAAAAACCTATGCATAACTCACATATACTATAAGATACTTAACTATAAACATACGGCAGCCAAGTACTTTTACATGAGACTGAATCATGTTGTAATGGATATTGTGCAAGAGAGGTATTCTAGGTAAAATTTGTGCAAAAGAGGTAAATAAAATATGAAATGTGGTAAAAAAAAACAATAATGATATTTAATAATAATAAATACTAAAAATTAAGTAAGATTTAAATGTTACATTTTGTATGGAAAACTGTATTGTAAAGTTTAAATATGCTTACACTCTGTGATCATAGACTACATATAAATACCATAGACAATGAAAGCCTGTGAATAATTATAATTGAATTGTTTTAATGGTTCTCATGATGAATGATTGTAAGTGTAAGATCTTAAAATCTGAACGTGTGTTCTGTTCAGATGTGTACTGAGAGCATAGCCCCAATGATGTTATTAATATGTACACCAGCAACCATAAGTAATAGCAAGATCTTAAATTTGAATTGTTCCTTAACCTTCTTCCCCAACTCCGTTTGAATACATGATCCTGGCCACCATTATTGCTAACTGCATCGTCCTAGCCTTGGAGCAGCACCTGCCTGGAGAAGACAAGACACCCATGGCTAAGAGACTTGTAAGGACCTACACACTTATTTATAAACTACACCCAAAAGCCATTGCATTGATTCTCTGTTTTGACTTGATCGTGAGATGGCTAAAGATTTTTAAATGTAGCACAGCCCTTCTCTCTTGTGCTCTCGTTTTCTTTGTTCTTGACAACTTTATTCAGACTGTAGTTTCCCCCGTTGAATCACTCACCACAAGCTAATTATTCCCATTCAAAGAGTATTTCCCCACTGTTTTACTTCTGTGACATATTTCTGAGGAGTGCTTGTTTAAATAGAGGCATGCAGTTACACTCTTGCCTCAAAAAATGTAAATTGATACTAAAATTTTATTTACTGAGATTAGATGAATAGAACATATTTTTTGAACACATACTGTATTGATAAGGTTGTTTCACACCCGGTCCCTTTTCTTTTCTCAGGAAAAAACAGAGCCCTACTTCATAGGAATGTTTTGCTTTGAAGCTGGAATAAAAATCATTGCTTTGGGATTTGTATTCCACAAGGGCTCGTACCTGAGGAATGGTTGGAACGTCATGGACTTTATTGTCGTATCGAGTGGGTGAGTGACATCTGTTTTACTTCATAATGACGCTGAGTTTGCTGATTTAAAGGTCTCCTTAAGTGCCTTAAATGCCTACTTTTATTTGATGTGTGGATTTTAACTAAAACATGAAGACAGGACAGAACAGGACATCGCAATTAGCTCCTCTGCTTTTTGAAAACTAGCCAATAGTGTTTTGTTCATTTGTTTATATCTGTGCCATTCAGAGTCATTGATCGTATCTGACTCATCATGACAGCCACAGTTTATAATAGCAATGCAATAGGCTGTCTAACCATTTTTTTGTGCTTTAAAAAAGTGTATATTTTAAGAGGGTCCGATATGTTTTGTGATCTGTGTCAAATCATGCATGTTATCCACTGTGTGCTGCTATATCTGTGGATGAGAGCAGACCATGTGTGTGCACACTGCAGCGTATTTACTGTCTGAATTGTTTACACTCTACACTGAAAGGAAATGACACTTTGTGCCAGCTTAAAAAAATTACTGTAATTTGTTACAGATATTGTTTTTAGTTTTTCTCAAAGTATAATTTAACTTCAGTTCAAACTATAAAATTTATTCTAAAATATGTTTTGTGGTCAAGAAAAAAACCTTACATTAACAAAAAGTAAAATATTAGTTAATATGGAGAAACGAAATATAGTATAACTTTCTTTTGTTAACCTTAGATCGAAGTATCTTGCTTTGGACCAATCTAAAAAAATACTGTAATTTGTTTTGGTTAGATTTATAAATTACCCTCAGATTATGTTTTGACTTGGTTGAAAATTAAAACTATGTTTTAATATTAATCAAATGTTTTTTCTGCCCAGTGAAAAAAAAAATTGTCAGAGGTAAAATGTTGGCTTTATAGACCATTAATTAATTTAAATAATTTGGTTTGACTTAACTATACTAAACTATAATAAATACATATAAGGCCCTATCATACACCACGCGCAATAAGGCTTAAGACGGGTTTGCCACAATGTGTTGCTATTTTCAGACCAGCGCAACCCTAATTTTCCTGTTTTGCGCCACGTTTTTAAACTAGCAAATCCATTTGCACCACTTTGTGAACTCATGGGTGTTCTGGTCTAAAAAAGAGGTGTTAAGGCACATTGTTGGCACTTTGCTATTTTGAGGAAATGAAATAGACTGCGCAATAGACCAGCTGAAAGCAGGTCTAAAGTCCAGGGTTTTAGTTACACATTGCTTAATACAAACAGGATGTAAAGCAATACGGAAATATCTTTACAAATGAAAAAGAATGAAATACTACAAAAAGGATTATTTTTTACATAAATATAAAAACCAGTACCTCCATGCCTTCTTCATACATGACAACTTGCTTTTGTATAATGTTATTATTAATATTAATTATTATATGCATATTTATAAAACAATCTTAGATTTGTCCACCTGTCAGGTTTTGGACCATATGGAGCAAAGCATGTGTGTTTGGATATAACTATATTGCTGCAAGTTAGATCGGATTTTAGAAATAGTTTTGAAACAAATCTTTGTGCGTAACAAATGAAATAAAATATGTAGATTAATGGATATCTTCAGTGGAGTGTGTACAACACTGTTTTCTTATCCAAGATAGAAATCGAATGGAGGAGGCTCGTTCTTTATCTTCGCGCTGCAGATGATCTGTTTAACTGTTTTCTTGCTAGTAGAGCGTTCAGTTTTTCCACTTACAAAGTCCACCATGTTAAAAGCAAATGTGCCATGGCTCAACGCAACTCTCAGAAGGAAAGGGACATGAGACTCTGGTTGGTTTATTCTCAAAACACACCCAGAACTCATAAAGAGAATAAGCACAACCTTGTTAGATCATGCGCTGCTGCGCAGAGCATTTTTTCCGTCCTTAAAATAGCAAAAGTGGATTCGGACATGCCCTTACTGCTTTTGTGCCATGTGCTTTAGACTTTGCACCTAGATCATTAAAATAGAGGCCATAATGTTATTTAGTTATCTAGTTTTTAAGTTTACTAAGAGAGTTCACTTTTTGCTTTAAATCAAACTGAAAAAAAAAACTGTTTATAATCATAAACCATATTTTCCAGTTAACCCAATATAAAAATGTACATTGAACGAGACACAGCAGTTTAACTTTTTATTCAGTGTATATAGATCACTATGTGACCATTACAGCATAAAAAACTGTAATTGTGTGGAACAGGCATAACTTTGAATGGCCTAGTTAATCATTTGCTGGCTGTGTATGCATGCATGTACAATTCATTTTTACAGATTTTAGCTGTGTCTATGACAGAAATCTTATATCATGATTTAAGTCATTTTATGTCCTGATAACAATATCTGTCACAATTTGGTACCTTTTCTGTAAATTCATTAAAAAAAGTTGAATATATGTGAGTTGACCACATGGTAAAATGTACTTATTCATATTTGATTATTTTTCTCACTTTATTTACCACTTTTGGGGAAAAGTCTGATTAAGAAAATAGTAATTGAAAACAATTAATAAAATCTAAAACTCATTAAAAAACTAATAATTACAGGACCAACACAAAAAATGCTAAATAAAATGCAAAATGTAAACATTATACTTTAGAGCTTGAAAAATTCTCGTCATGCTATTATTCATGTTTTTGCCTACATCCATGTGGTGGCATGTAAGATCTTTCCTACACCACAAAATAAACAATAGAGTATAATATGAAACACTAGACTTTTTTTTTGTCCATACGATATATATCATCATATTGCACATTCCTAGTAGGGGACAGGAGGCTGTCAGGACTTCAGATAGAAATGAACATTTGATTTGAGAAGCTGAAGTACACGGTGATGTCAAAAAACAGTTGATTCTCATTGGTGGAAGTAAGAAGCTGCAAGTTTCTTATGAATACTCATATCTTCTACAGTAATTCACATTTTTATTCATATTTATTTGGGAAGACATTTATTTATAGTAACTTTAAGACTAACATATTGATACTAACCCAAAACATTTGAATTTTCATTTAAACCTTTTCATATTGATATTAAGCAAGTCTGGAATTTCGTTGTGTTATTTTCATTATACACCTATAATATTATACTATTCTAAACATTATACTATTTTTCTTGAGTTAGTCAGCTGAACCTTTAGATAGTTTTCTCGTATTTTCTACTGTAGCGTGTCCTTGCCTCTACACTGTGAATTGGTAAACAGAAGGTTGTGGATTTGCTCAAATTGACTGGACTTTCACCTCATTTTACCTCATTGAACTTCGCCTGATTGAATCATCTTGGGAGAGTGTTAACTTTCAGTCTTGGCAGAGTGGAGAAATGAACAGCACCTTGAAAATACTTCACCGCAAAGAACAGATATTGCATTAGCGCTGTCAAAACAACAGTGTCAAGAAGTGCCCTCCTCAAGGGAAAGGCTGCTGCAGCTTTCATTTGCAGAGTAAACCACAATTTAGAAGCCTGGATGAAGGGCACAGGGCATTTTGCTTAGAACGGTTCTCCCTGTTTTTTTTTTTTTTAAAGAGGAAAGCTATCTAAAATAGAAAGAAGGGTGAGAGGGACAGAAAAAGGCAGACACACACATGCACAGTGCAACGTAACGATACATATAAAATATTAATCACTGTCATAGTGTTAAAGTACAATGGGATATGGGCTTCTTAGAGAATTTTACATGATTCCAACTCACTTTCATTATTGATGAGCCTGGATCTTTGTCTGGTTTAAAAAAAAATGTAAGAAAGACTTTAACCTCTCAACCCAATTCCTCATGGGCCTGTAAGATGTATACACACACACACACACACACACACACACACACACACACACACACACACACACACACACACACACAGCAATATCAACACGCACTAACATCCATATGTTGTGACAAAACTGCTTATGCAGTTCTCTTTGTAAAGGAAAGTAATAATCAGAAGCAAGCTGCAACCGTTTTAAAAGCTTGTCTCTTAATCATAAGGTTCAAAAGGGCAGACATGTTAATTAATTTGATGAGTCTAAAGAACCTTTGTTATGACTTACATCAAGGCATTTCTCAAACTATCATAGGGTGCTTTGAACTCTGGATTAAATCTTCTTTCCTTAGTGTATAGTTTGTAGTATTTTTTTCTTAAAAGAGGTGTGTTATGCTTACCAGGCTGGATTAAATTGATTAAAAATATTGTAAAATTGTGATGTGTGAAATATTGTAAGATTTCTGTTTTAAAATGTAATTTATACCTGATATTTATTTTTATTTTTTTTGTTTTTTGATTATTATATTATATTATATTATATTATATTATATTATATTATATTATATTATATTATATTATATTATATTATATTATATTATATTATATTATATTATATTATATTATATTATACATTCGTTAGTTTTCTTTTCAGCTTAGACCCTTTTTTTAATCTGGAGTCGCCACAGCGTAATGAACCGCCAACTTATCCAGCATATGTTTTACGCAGCAGATGCCCTTGCAGCTGCAACCCATCACTGGGAAACATCCATACAATCTCATTCACACACATACACTATGAACAATTTAGCTTACCCAATTTACTTATACCACATGCTTTTTGGACTTGTGGGGGAAACCGGAGGACCTGGAGGAAACCCACTCCAACACGGGGATAAAATGCAAACAGAAAGTATATTTTTGATACGGTCACCAGCGATCCAGCCAGTATGGATCTCTTAAGAACTACAAATCTGCCACTTTAATGAACTACAAATGCTGTTATGTACTTCACTTACACACCTGATCCAGATCCTCAGGACTAATAAGATAGACTATAAACACAGTACACACAGACACGCATCATTGCTGAGTCTTGTTTATCTGTATTGTAAGCATTACGACGTAGTCTCCCTTGCCATGTTTAACCCTTCCTTTCTTTATGTTGTTTGCTGCCTGACCTGACTGTTCACGTGTTTATGACCACGCTCTGGATTTCTCTGCATGTACTTGTTTGTTCTTGTTCCGACCATTGACTGGAAGACGATTCTCTTTATT